CAGGCGTCATTAACACGACACTCTAGCGTCTAACGATTCAGTGACGTCAGCATGAAATTATCCGAAGTGTAGCTTCTCCGGTTGTAATTATACTGTATCTTCCTAGTAATAATTATTGCATGAGCCTCGCACGGAAGTTCATGTATGCGCGGCTAGTACAGTTGACGTTGACAGAAAACACAACTCCCACAAGACCAGGAAATGCCTTCTTGTCAGTGCCGGATTATTGCTACATGTACATGTACTAGTATCACGCTGGCTCTGACAAGGTCACCAGTTCAGATGGTTGAATATGCGCAAGGAAGCACGATAGTCCATAGCTTGTTGGCATTTTATTTTTCTTATAGACTTTTAATGAGGTCACTGTCCACGTTTCACATGCACTAGAGCGAGACCAGCGTCTTATTTCCCGATGCCAAAGGACAAGAGAATTAGAAATACATGTACATGTTCAGTGCACAAGTAGAAACTCTTTGGTCACTCGCAGCATGCTCGTAGCATACAGTTAGGCCCGAGGTGGCATGGACATGCACGAGTGACCGAATTATGCGGGTCCATAACGTGTTTTGTGTAACCTCAGTCCACAATGAAAAAGAAAAGAAGAACCCCCCCCAAAAAAAACCACAACACTCAGAGTCTTACAACTGAACTTTTTAAAATCAACGGTAAACTCATAAATGCTTCACACGCGCGTTGAATTCCGATGACGTACGCAAATTTCATGCTGTAGTACGGTGCATATTGTGACCCCACGTGACCGTGTTTCAACCAACCAAGATAAATACACATAAACAAAAGTAGAAGATCGAAGCGCATTGTATTAATGTATTCCATGTTCTAAACTGGACTATAGTGAATCACACCCAATGGTGTCTGCATAAACAACGAAAGCAGGTGTAATCGTACACGTACATGTACACGTTAATTTTTTTATGTGTGAGTTCATCCATTTAAGTTAATCTTCCCTTTAAAACTTGATTATTTAATGTAGTTTCAGGGTGCGTCGCGGATCATAGAGGCTATGGATGCCTCGTTGGTGAGTGATGACACGTACATATACATGACGAATAAAATAAACAACCACACTCTACGCACGGGCCGCACAAATACTGAGAGCTTGACATTATCTTTAAAATAAATGTTGTAAGCTATAAGCTGCTTTGATAAAGATCGGCTTCACGCTTGTTAACCTGTCCCGTACGCCAGGCATGTCTGGGGAATTCCATTTTCGTAGCACTCCACTTCAAACCATGATTAAAAGTTGGAACTGCCACACTCGAGAAAATCGGCTACATAAACCCATTGAGATTCTGTTGAAGGTTTGCGATCGTTCCCAAATACCCGATGTCTGTGTCGCCAAACTTGTGAAGCTTTGTGAGTTACTTTTCAACCGCAACATATTCAACCCAGTATTACTAGGTTTTAAAAATTAATAGATGTACAATCACTGGGGTTTGAAAGTCCTTGTGCATTCCCAGTGCCTTTCCTTGATGTAGAGAAAACGAGGGGGACATCAAAGACCTTTTCATGTATCTCGAATTCGACATCCTTGGCAGCATTTATATTTTTTTCACTGAAGTGTGAACAAATGATATCTTCCGAACTTTTTTTTTTCACAAGTACCAACATTCTTCATTTGGACGGGGGGAATTGTTTTTTAATACCCAGAAAATACGGATAGTTTTCATGTAACCTTTTTAGGCGTTCCTTTAGTGGCGAGGCTACATTTTGGGACTTTTTCTGAGCTTTTGGAAGGGAGATGAAATAGATAAAAAATGTCTTTTATTATTGAATAAATAGTTTGATGGAGGCATTGGCACCCAATAGTGGTGGAAGCAGGGGGGCAAGGGGGCCAGTGGCCCCCACTTTTTCGACTGGGAGGCCTGGCCGCCCACTTTTTGCAGGTCCTATAATTGAGTGGGGCTCAATGGATTAAGTCCTAAATAGTTGATGCCCAATGGTCAAACAAGTGCCCCCCCCCCCGTTTGAAAATCACTCCCACCCTGGATCAGCCAGTGTCTATCTGTTATCCAACAAATTCTAAACTTATTGGGTTGCGAAAGTTACTCATGGTAGTCATTACTCAAGATTACTCATTTCTGTCTCACGTTCTTCATAAACCTTTTGCCCTTCATGTCACGCAATGAAGCAATAAAAGCTACCAGAGGAGTTACTATTGTTCGCATACCTCCAAGTCTTCTTGATTTACTCCAGTGCCCTCAAGAATTACCAGGATATCCTTATCTCTCAGACACCTGCTTCCCTCAACCATTTCTGGCTGAAAGTTTGAGCTTTTTGCTATCTATATCCCTCTTTGTATTTGTCCTCAAGATTTATCCAGGCTGGTCTCCTCTGTTACATGCCTGTATCCTTTTCTCATCTTGACTTGTCAACTCCTGAAGTCTGTATACTTCTGAGTCTTCACAAGGATGCTGTCCCATCCCTGGTGATCTTAAAAGAATGTAATCATCCTCCACCTCAAAACTGACTTCCAGTGATCCCAGATTTGTGAGCTCCTGTTTTTGTGAGGTTTCCGTCACCTTCTCAAGTGAACTGGATCACACATGCCCTTGCTCACCCGCAGTCAGCCTGAGCCTAACCTTCAGACATACTGCAACACAGACCCACCCAGCTGACTCTCTTTACCCATTTCTCTCAACCATCTCTGGCTAGACATTCTGGTTCCTGTCATCTTATCTGCTCCATGTCTGTTAAGTTTCCATCACCTTCCCAGGTGACTCCAATTACCCGTACCCCTCCTCGCTCACGGTCAACCTAACCCCAAGGCACATCAGATGACAGCATCTCCCAGGTGACTCTTTTTACAAACTCCTCTCTACCATCTCTGGCCTGACTCCTAAGCTCCAGTCATCTAAGTCATCTGCAAATCACTCGAGCCCCATCTCCACTCATGGCCAGACAATCTCAAGATCAAGCAGGCGACCTCTTCAGTGGATCCTGTTATCTGTACCCCTCCTCCATCTCTTGTCGGACTTCTGCTAAGGCTTGCTCCATAGTTAGCTTTGGTCGTCTGTGACGATGGATATACTGTGAGAAAAAATACGAATCGATAACATTATTCCCTTTCTATTTCAATTCCTCTACGCCTTGCGTTTATGAGGTATAATGCTCCATCGTATATTCTTTTGTTTCCCACTTTATCTGATTCTTCAGTATGGATATTAAACCTCAGCCCGATTCTGTCGGACACGGTCATCTTCAGACCACCCTATTTGGCGTAAAATGCTTGAAGGTCACAATGTTCTATGCCCCAAAAGAGCATGAAATTATTCATCTTTTCCTTCTGACTGTATTTTTTTTTTACACAGTGTGTTCAACCACGGCAACCGAAGTTAGAAATTCAATCTGCTCTTGGTAATATCATTCAAGAAAAGTTGCCAGGGTTTCTTTTGGCAAACCTCTTTTGTGTCTTCCAGTGTTGTGTAGCTGTAGTCTGTCTCAATGCTCTCGGCGAGCGACTGATGCAGTCGAAGAGTGGAGTTTATGGACTCACGAGTGTGTCTCAGCTGAGACAGTAATGTCTCATTCATGGCAAGGATACTTGGACTGTAAGACGTGAGAGCTGCAAAAGAGGATGCCAAATATTGTAAATCAGACGTCTGAAAGTTGTAATTTTTTATCACTCTCTTTTTTATTGTTTTATTTCAATCTGCACCTGACTGACAGACACTGTCTACACTTATTATTACTATATTTGTACAAAGAATATTGAGATTAAAAACTTAACAACAGGCACTGGGCTGTGGCTTAAGCTTGGTGTGGAAAAGATGCACTACACTATACGCCATCAAGGCACATGCACATGTATTACGTGAGAGTCGTGAGCAGGTAGTTTTCTTGCAGCGTAATGTGCAAAGAAACTTACATTCACAGTCCAAAACAGTACTTCTTTTGTGGAAGACTATGAAGCTACTACATTTTTGCACACTTTTGAAGCGGTGTTGTGGTCAAGTCCATCACAAGCTTGTCACAAGTCACTCGGTCTGAAACCAAGTTGCAAGCGCTATTCAAATGACAGGCATGCAACTTGGTTTTTGGCAAAAAATCATGAAATTCATATCTTTACAAGACTACAAGATCAGCTAATCCGATGCCTGAAATGAACTGTGACAAAAGCATTCCTTCGTCCCTGTTCACCCCGTGCTTACATGTATTACTAGTCTTGTGAAAGGACTTGTGATGGACTCTAGTAAAATGTTGGTTTGATGTAAGTTTGAATTTGTGTCACTCAGTGATGAGTTTTATTAACAAGTTGATCAGATCCATTTGGATTTCAACTACAAACAGTGGCCACGAGGGCATACATGTATAAAGAGTCTTGGTGAGAAATTTTTCTTAGACACGTTTTTAAAATAAGTTTATACTCCTCCTTTTTTTATGAAAACAATTTGACATCCTTTGGGTCTATGGTTAAATTTTAAACATTTCAAATATTCCATACTTTTCCAGACAACTGGGAGCATTGTTGCTGTAATCTCATGAAAGCATATCTGAGAAGGCGTTGCTTATTGATTTATTGCCATGTGCATGTACGCCAATGCATCATCAAAGAAACAGAAATTTGGCCAGCAAACTATTAAACAATTTAAGCAAATTTTGTGCACAAATCAGTGTAACAATGAGGTTTTCTTCCCAGGAATGACATCATGGTTTTGCTTATGAATATGGAAATACTCATTAGCATAATTAACCCCAAATGCACTAAACATTCAAAATTGCAAAAGAAAATTGAAATAAGGTTGCCTGCAGTCTTGTTGTCAAGAGCACTAAAGACCTTCACAAGACCACACAAGACCTCCAGTCTGAATTTATGTCACTACCTATATTCAAATAAACTGCAACAAAAGCATTCCTTTGTCACTATTCACCCTGTCACTTGTGCATGGTCTTGGGTCTGGTC